TGGACTGATGTTCACCTCCTTTTGTGTGGACTGGTGTGGGAGTTGGAGACCCTTGGTCTGTAATATGTAGAATATGACAGGTGTTCAATAAATCAGTGGTTCTAAAACTTTACTGTGTATCCTTACCTCCACAGATTCTGCCTCAATAAATGTGTAATGAGACTCAGTTCTCTTAAACAACCTAGGTTATTCTCATGAGTTGGCTTTTGTTTTACACTTTAAGAAAACCTGCATTAGGGCTTGTCAATATCAGCGGTGACTCCCTCTCCAGGCCAGGCTTAATTCTTCGTCTTTTAAAATAAGCAATGAGGCTGAAATTTCAGCACCCCAAGACATCTGGAGAGGCTCCCCTACCTCACTCCTTCCTCCAATACTCTATGCTCTGTATTTCACTACTTTTAAATGTCATCATTGGTTGCAGCCCTTTGCTTAGGTGATTTTAGCCTTCTGTGAGATAAATTGTCTGGGTAGAACTGAGTTTTCAGACTTTTCAGGGGGCAAACAGAGATATTTGTTGGATGACTGCTTTAAAAGAAGGAGGTGTTCTGTAACTCTTATAACCTCTTTTAAGGAAGAAATGATTTCTGGGGATGAATCTCATCATAATTCTGTTGCCCCATTTTAGGGGGGTTCCCTCTTTGTTCTTCAGTAGTTACATCAAACAGCAAGCTGGCATACTTTCTGGGCAAAGATTTCTTATGAAAACGTTGAAAGAATTTAATGTTCTATTTGTTGTTTCCATCTTTCTGAGAAAGATGCGCATTAATCTTGGTGGAACTTAGAAACAATGGTTAACAGTCACATTTTGATATTTTTCTGTTTGTTTGAGAAAGAGTCTCGCTCTGTTGCCCAGGTTGGAGTGCAGTGGCACAATCTTGGCTTACTGTGGCCTCTGCCTCCCAGGCTCAAGCAAGCCTCCTAACTCAGCCTCCTGGGTAGCTGGGATTACAAGTGGGAACCACCACACTCGGTTAATATTTAATTTTTTCAGCTGGGCGTGGGGGCTCATGCCTGTAATCTCAGCACTTTGGGAAGTCGAGGCAGGTGGATCACGAGGTCAGGAGTTCAAGACCAGGCTGGCCAAGATGGTAAAACCCCATCTGTACTAAAAATACAAAAATTAGCCAGGTGTGGTGGTGCACACCTGTGACCCCAGCTACTCAGGAGGCTGAGGCAGAGAACTGCTTGAACCTGGGAGGCGGAGAATGTAGCGAGCCAAGATTGCACCACTGCACTCCAGCCTGGGCAACAAAGCGAGGCTCCACCTCAAAAAGAAAAAACCCAAAACCAAAAAACAACAACAAAAAAACCTAAATATTTAAATTTTTCAAATACACAAGGTCTCACATATTGCTTAGGTTGGTCTCAAACTCTTGACTCAAGTGATCCTCCTACCTCAGCCTCCCAAAGTGCTGGGATTACAGGCGTGAGCCACCATACCTGGCTCATTTTGATATTTCAATTCTTTTTTCAAAATGGAGAAATGAATATTAAGGAACAATACTGTAAATACATAATTCTTAAATAATTTTGGTAATTTCAAACCAAAATAATTAAAATTGAAAAAATAAAATTAAAATATTTTAAATAAATAACTCTACATTCTTAGTACGTAAAAGGGGATAGAAAAATAGGGAAAATATCCCAGTCAATTTATCCACCAGTAGGAATGAAATAGTCTAGACAAGGGGAACCATTTATTTCACTGGTACAGATCTAAAAAAATGCCAGACCATTTGGAAAACTGACCTCATAAACAGGACTTGCTTCTACTCAAATCTGTGCATGGAGTTCAGGGTTCTTAGCAAACAATAGAAACCAACTCTGATTAACTCATCAGGAAAATAAATTTACTGGAAGGATACCAGCTAGCCCGAAGAATCAATGCATGTTTTATCACTTAAAATTAAAAAAAGAAATGAGCACAAAGCCTGTAGAGGGATATGCATAAATGGAGGCAATGTGGCAGGAGCTACAGCCAAAGTCCGGCTCCATCAGCACTCTAGTTAGGGAATCTCTGTTGGTCTTGTTTCCTCTGCTGCCTGCTTCTCACTACTACTGTTGGGTTCCCAATGCCAGTATTTTCAGGGAGTGGGAAGAGTGAGCCTCCAAATACCACTTCAACTTCAATTTCCCCAAATACGGAAATAGTTCAGATGTTCCACCTAAAAAGATAAACAAAACAAACCAAACAAAACCAGTCAGGTCTTGGAGCTTGCCTTTGTGCTAGACTTCCAACTCCATCCTCATTCCTATCTTCTTGTCTTTGTCCTTTTCACATATCCATTCTTCTCCATTTCTCTTTTTCCTTTTCTTTTTTTTTTTTTGAGATACAGTCTTGATCCGTTGCCTAGGCAGGAGTGCAGTGGAGTGCACTCCTTCGCTCACTGCAACCGCCACCTGCTGGGTTCAAGCAATTCTCCTGCCTCAGCCTCCCAAGCAGCTGGGACTGCAAGTGCCCTCCACCAAGCCCAGCTAATTTTTGTATTTTCAGGAGAGACAGAGTTTCATCATGTTGGCTAGGCTGGTCTCGAACTCCAGACCTCAAGTGATCTGCCCGTGTCGGCTTCCCAAAGTGCTGGGATTACAGGCGTGAGTCACAGCATCTGGTCCATTTCTCTTTTTCAATTATCTTAAAATCAAACCAAAACAAAAGCAACATCTCTCAAGAAAGAGTTTTATAATCATATTAACAATAACTTCTCCATGACCATAAATTAAAATTACCTTGCCTGGTGCGGTGATTCACGCCTGTAATCCCCATACTTTGGGAGGCTGAGGCGGGCGAATCACTTGAGGCTGGGACTTTAGGACCAGCCTAGCCAACATGGTACAACACTGTGTCTACTAAAAATACAAACATTAGCCGGGCTTGGTGGCAGGAGCTTGTAACCCCAGCTACCTGGGAGGCTGAGGCAGGAGACTTGCTTGAACCCGGGTGCGGAGGTTGAGTGAGTGGAGATCGCGCCACTGCACTCCAGCCTGGGTGACAGAAGGAGACTCTGTCTTAAAAAAAAAAAAAAAAATTAAAATCAGCTTACTAATTTATCTCAGCATTCTATTTGTATCTTCTTAGCAGTTTTGGTCATTTGTTTACAACTATATTTCTTCTTGAGATAATGTTCTATTTTTCCCCAATGCCCATTTGTTAAATGTGCTCTTTTTTCTTTTCAGCGTTTGTATTTTAATAGAAAAAACATTTATTACAAAGAATGAATCTGTAATGGTGGAATTTCAGGTTTTGAAAATAAGAATGTGCATAAAACATCTAAATTCAAGAACCTCCTACTTTGTAGATTGGGAAAGCATCACGTATCAAATGGATCTATTTCAAGAGAAGTCTGGATAACTTCCATTTACTAAAGGCTTTGTTCCAAAGGATCTCCTTTGTTACTACCTCATGTTATGTAAATAAAATCATAATCAGTTATATTGCCTCAAATAGATGACTTCATTTTCAACACATGTGCAATAGAACTGCAGAGGGTGGTTCAAGATAATACCCTAGCCTGCAATTTGGTGTATTTTGAATAAATGAATAAAAGCTGTCAGCCCTGAGCGCCCCGACTCCCAATACACGCAGAATAGCAGAGGTGTATTGAGCCTTTATTTATTTTTTTTTAATATAGTTCATTCACTCAACAAATATTTACTGAGAATATCTCAGACCAGCTGACGCTTAGGGAAATAGAAAAGAACAAACGTTGAATATCGGGGGTGGGGTTTCCCCTGATACCTGCGAATGCTTGGGACATCAGGGCACAACAAAAAGGCCAAAGATTCCTGTGTCCACATCCTGAGGTGGTAATGGGGTGAGGGACAGACTGTACAATAAAAACCTAGGATTCACTCCATGAAAATGTTGTCGTTTTTCTAGTTGAGCTGGTAAATTGGACTGTGAAGAAAGAATGCCCTAAGCACAGTGGTAAATTCACAACCAGGGCCCAATACTAGATTCGATACATTCACTGACACTCGGGTTGCTAATTACAAGTCTGAAATCCATCAAAGTAGTTAACATCCCTAAACATCAAAGTAATAGCTGTTTTAGGCCCTAAGAAAGTGCAGCCCGGAGAAGTATTAATGGAAAATGTGCTAAGGCTGTTATTTAAATTCTATTCAAATCAAATGTGGCTTGCCTATTTTCAAACTGACTTATAATTTTGGCCAACCAAGCTACGTTGGGCTGTGTTCCTCGGCTGCCACAAATCATCGTCACAGGCTGAAAGCTCAACTGCTTCGTGCTCTTTATTTTTTTATGCCTATGCCAACGTTGCCGATGTGGTAAAGCTGTCACCACGCCGCCAGGAGGGCTGCCTCCTCTGGCGCGAGCAGCCTAAGAGGCTTCCGGCTGCTGTGGCTTGAGCTCCGATTTGATCAGACGCCACTCAGGAAGGGATTTAGATAGTGGCCATTTTTCAACTAAGTGCGTCTGCCGCACTTAATAGCAAAGCAAAAGCCACGCTTTCTAATCTCCAGTTAGGCGTCCAAGAGGAAGAAAAGTGGCCCTTGCTGGCTGAGGGAGCAGCGTGTCTGCAATCACAGCCGCGTTTCGCCTCCTGGTCTTTTCCTCAATGTGGGATTGTCTTTTTGTTTTTTGCCTGGTCTAAGCTGGCCCCACAGAAAGAACAGACTAGACAAGCTTACTGAGGTAAAAAGTAGGGGCGGCGGTGAGGTCTAGAGGGTCTCCTCGGAACTAGGCAGAGACGCCAGCAAAAAGCGCCTTATGGCCAAGCTAACTCAGGCCTAGTAAAATACCCACCCCCACTCTACCGCCTCTCCGGCCAAGGCCGTCGCTACGGACCAGAGGGCGGGGCCGCCACACCTTCGCGCGAGACCAGCCACGCGACTTCCCAGAAGGCCTCAGGCAACTTCTTAATAGCAGCCAGGAAGCCGGACCAGAGCGGAAGGGTGGGCGGGGCTTGCCCGCATATTTAGCGGCACCCGAGGCCACGCCCCAGATCGGAAGTGACGGAGACGAGCTAGCGCGTCGAAGGTACCTCTATGGTTTTCCTCGCGTTCTTGAGTCGGGAAATGGCCGCTGTGTGGTTGCAACGGAGATAAATCCCCGGAACCGCGATTCGGCGTGTCAGGTAGGCCTCGCGCTGTATTCAAGTTACTCAAGAGCCAGTGAAGACCGAGGACAGGCTATATTTTTGACTCTTCTGTGGGTGGTGACGGGTTGGCGGCAAAAGGAGAACCAAGGAGACGTTGCGCCGTTATTTGTGCGTTTTTTCGTCAGCTTCCTTCAGGTTTTCGAGGCACTACGGGCCGAAAAGGCCGGGCGGGGCGCTGAGCAGTGCTAACGGCGCGCGCGCTCGTGTTTGCGAACCTGGCTCGAGACCCAGAGCCCGCGCGGCCTCCGGTGCGCGTGCGCATATATTCCTCTTCCACCCTTCCCCCATTTCTTCAGCCTGTATCTCTGCGCGCGGCCGCCTGAGCCTTCCGCGCACGCGCGCTTGTTCCTTTCTTTCTACCCCGCCTACGGCGCCGACGGCCGCCGGAGGTGCAACTTGTGTCCGCCTCTCATTGGCTGGGACTGCCACCTTTCTTCCTGGCCTTTGGGGTTTTGAGAAAATAACTGTGATCCGCAGCAAAGTGCGTTGAGTAGGTCCACCCCTTTTCTCGTGGTCTTTGAAACAACTCCCCAGCTTCAGACTACCCGTCAGTTGATGCCTCTTTTCTGTGATGCTACTAGGTTTTAGGGCTCTGTTCTGCCCCTCGCTGCTGACGCTGGTTCTCTGGAGTTAATTTCAGTACCCCCTGCAACCCGCTGTTTTGAAGCTAGCGCGCGCTGTTGACTTGTGGTGGTTGCCTAGTTACGTTTCCCTAGGGAGGGGATTGGGTCTTAGCTGGTGGTTCTGAGCCTGGCCCTGCCCCATCCGGCTGAAAGTGCGGTTCTTCACGAGTACTAGCGAAGCCGAGTCTTTTCAGCAAGTGATTCAGCCCATTTTGTCGTGTCAGAAAAGTTGCAGCCACAATTGGTAGACAGCTGGTGTGAGAAATGGGTGGGAGTGGCGAATTGGACTTTGCCTTCATTTTAAATTCATGAGTTGGCTTTTAAGATTCGCTTTTAAAATTTATTTCTTCAGAATCAAGCTGAAGTACCAGCAGCTACTTTGCTACCTCAGACTTTTTGAAAAAGCATTTTAGAATTGGAAAAAAATTAAGACAAGTTGAAAGCAATTGTGGCTAACGCTGATGAAAAAGATGAACTACTTCATACTTGTATCTCATTGCAACAGCGTCTTTCAAATTTTTTAGTATTACGAAGCAAAACAATATATTGCTCCTCGTGTGAATTCTCATTTCAGTTCGACTCTAGTTGAAATGTTAGGATACTGTTTAGGCAGTAAATAACCTTTACGTAGGAAAATCTGCTACAAGGTTTGTGCATTTTTGATCATAACCAATTCAGGATAAATAATTTGATGGGAGGGAAAAAGTGACTCCTCGGCGGGAGTTGAGTCTGCGGGGAGCTATGCTGGTCCCCCTGCACTCCAGAGGGGGCAACAGAGCGAGACCTTGTTACTTAAAAAGGTAGCTCATGGTAAACAACCTTGGACCATTTTCTCTTAGTGATATCATACTTTAACCATTACATTGTGGTGAACACTGAAATATCTTTAATTCAGGTAATTAAAATGGTGGCAAAGGAAACTGTTTAGCCAGAGCCCTTCTTGACTTTGAAGAACAGTGGTATTGTAAGACTTGGTGACAGACCTGTAGGTCTGATAGGCCCACTGGTAGGCTCAGCTCAGGTCTGGTTGATTTATTTATTTATTTTTGAGACGGAATGTCGCTCTGTCGCCCAGGCAGGAGTGCAGTGGCCCAATCTCCGCTCATTGCAACCTCCCGTCTCCGGGTCCAAGCGATTCTCCTGCCTCAGCCCCCCGCCCCCTTCCCCCCCCCAGCGGCTGGGACTGCAGGCGCCCGCCACCACACCCGGCTAATTTTTGTATTTTTGGTGCAGATGGGGTTTCACAATATTGGTGTCGAACTCCTGACCTCAGGTGATCCACTCGCCTGGCCCACCCAAAGTGCTGGGATTACAGGGGTGAGCCCCTGTCCCCGTCCTCGGTTGAATTTATTAAACTTTTGTGGGCAGCAAGCTGTAAGAGGTTAACTATGTGATGAGAAGACTTAGAAATGGAGAAAGTTTTATCAGTTCTATGTAGGGCTTAGGTTGGGAGTTTCCGGAAACTACATTGGAAATCAGTAGTTGCACACTAGCTGAATTCAGCTGTGTAATTTACAGTGATTTGTTATTTAGCAAATAAGTAGAAGAGGGAATTAAGAAACTAAAATCTCTAGGTACTTGTTGGATATGAATTTGTTAATTGTTTACACTCAGGTAATAAGTGTTACCTCAGTCATAGCATTTAATATCTTCTGACTGTCCCTAAGGCTGAAAACCAGCCAGTATACTAACGCGAAGATAATACTAGCCTGTATTTGTGTAGTATTTTAGAGTTTTCAAACACTTTAATTTTATTTATTTATTTGTTTGAGACAGAGACTCGCTTTGTAACCCAGGCTGGAGTGCAGTGGCGCCATCTCGGCTCACTGCAACCTCCGCTTCCCTGGTTCAAGGAACCCTGTCTCAGCCTCCCAAGTAGCTGGGACTACAGGCGCCCGCTTGCCACCATGTCCCGCTAATTTTTCTTTTTTCTTTCTTTTTCTTTTTTTTTTTTTTTGAGACACACCGCTTGCTCTGTCGCCCAGGCTGGTGTGCAGTGGCGTGATCTTGGCTCACTGCAACCTCTGCCTCCCAGGTTCAAGTGATTCTCATGCCTCAGCCTCCCCAGTAGCTGGGATTACATGGGATTACAGGTGCACGCCACAAAGGCCGGCTAGTTTTTCTTTTTCTGTTTTTGAGATGGTGTCTTGCTCTGTCATCCAGGCTGCAGTGCAGTGGCATGATCTTGGCTCACTGCAACTTCCACCTCACGGGTTCAAGCGATTCTCCTGCCTCAGGCTCCAGAGTAACTGAGATTAGAGGCGACCGCCGCCACGCCCTGCTAATTTTTATATTTATAGTAGAGACAGGGTTGTACCATGTTGGCCAGGCTGGTCTTGAACTCCTGACCTGGGGTGATCCGCCCGCCTTGGCCTCCCGAAGTGTTGGGATTACAGGCGTAAGCCACTGCATCCAGCCCAGACATTTTATTAAGCATGTCTGGAAAGACTTCTAAATGATGCTGATTAATGCTGTATCAAAAATATTAAGGTAACCTTACATGCAAGAATCATTTTAAGTAAACGTGGTTAGCTTGTAGAAAGGCTGCCTAAACAAGGTTTACCAATAATGATGGCTAATGCTATATTGTATACCATGAGCCAAACATTAAACTAAGCTGTTTACGTGCCTTAGTTCATTTAACCCTGTACTTGTAAGGAAGTACCATTAGTAGCCTTAAAAAAACAAACAAAAACAAAAAACAAAAAAACACCAACAGAATTTGAAGCTGACAGATTAAGTTAACTTGTTCAGTGTTGGTCAGTTAGTTAATGGCTGAGCCAGGATTTGAATCTAGTCAACTGGAATAATAGTCATGGGCTATATTTTTAGGATTTGAAAAGATGGAAATAGCATTACTTTGTTTACAACAATCTGGGGACCAGACTCCTTCAGTCTGCTAAAATGAAGACTAGGATCAAGTATGCTTGAAATCGTAATCTTAAAGAATTCATTTTGGGTGGCTTTGTCTTGGATATTTTGTTGAATCCAGTTTCTTTGCTCTGATCAAATTTTCTCTTTTTTTTGAGACAGCCTCGCTCTTGCCCAGGCTGGGGTGCAGTGGTGCAATTTTTGCTCACTGCAATCTCTGCCTCCTGGGTTCGAGTGATTCTTCTGCCTCAGACTCTGGAGTACCTGGGACTATAGACGTGCACCACCGCGTCTGGCTAGTTTTGGTATTTTTAGTAGAGATGGGGTTTCCCTGTGTTGGCCAGGCTGGTCTCGAACTCGTAACCTCAGGATCTGCTCACCTCGGCCTCCCAAAGTGCAGGAATTACACGGTGAGCCACCATGCCTGGCCTGATATAATTGTTTTCTAGCTAGTTTCTGATCACTTATGTTCTAGCTGGTCATTATGTATTATTTCATGAAAGATAGGCTCTGTTTAGATATTTAAGAACCTTATTTTTAAAAATAAAACCTGCTTTATTTTATCCTGTGTTCCTCATTGGTTAGTGTATCAGTTGGCTAAAGATACATGCTGCAGTTTATTCCTTATCTCTCTATACAAGTGGGAATCTATTAAATGATCTCGGTTGTAATAAAGGGAAGATTAATTTGGCATTTTTAATTCTGTATTTGGGTTTTGGCCACCTCAGGCACCTTTTAGGGTATTGAAGAAAGAGCACTGGAGTTGGAGTCAGGAGATTTCAGTCAAATTTTGGATTAACCATTTACAGTCCGACTATGGGCACAAAAAACGGCAAACGTATCTTTTGTTTTCTCCCCCAAACTTGTCCTTCTCCGAGATGTTTAAATCTATAACCTAGAATTTAAGGGCACTAGTGATTTTTCATTTTTCCTCACTCTCTGTACTTCACACCCCTAACAATCCATTAACAAGCCATTTTGACAAACCACATCTTGAATTTGCCTCTTTTTTTCATTGCTGTTTATTTTTTATATAGAAGCCATCTTAAAATGAAATCAGATGAGTGACTCACCCAAGCAAACCCTGCAAGGGTTTCTCAACCAAGTAAAATCCTGACCCCTTTTGGTGATCTACTAGATGCTATTTGATCTGGTCCATTCCTCCTCCTGCTGCCTTATTTCATACGCTCAACTCCTTGATCACATTGCCTCAACCTTCTTATTGGTGTTTCTGTCCTGAATTTGCCAAGTTTGTGTCCTCTGCCTAGTATGCTCTTCCCTCTGTGGATCTTTTCTGTGTTCCCTGTCCTTAGACCCAAATGTTACCTCCTTAAAGAGGTCCCAAGGATCCACCTAAGTAGTGCCTCCGCCCACCTCCTCTGCATGTCAACTTGTACTTTTTCCCCCCTCTCCAATGTGGCACTTGCTGCTATTTGATTTTTTTCTTGTTTTCTGTCTTCCCCTCTCTGAAAGCTTCAAGAGAGTAGGGAACTT